TTTATAGAGTAATCTGAAACTTTTGAAAAAGAGTTTATCAGTTCTATTGAATGAGACAGAGACGATTGAGAATTCTGGAGGAAGAGTAAAACATCATCTGCATAAAGACTGATCTTATGTTCTATTTTATTACACTTTATCCCTTTAATACCTGTTGTTTGCCTAATTGCTGCTGCTAGTGGTTCGATAAAGATAGCAAACAGTGAGGGGGAGAGTGGGCATCCCTGCCTGGTCCCCCTCTGAAGACAGAAGCTAGCTGATATTTGGTCGTTCGTCCTAACACGTGCAATTGGCGAACTGTATAATGTTTGTAGCCAGTTTATGAAGAAGTTCCCAAAACCAAATTTATGTAAAGTTGCAAATAAGAACTTCCAGTTAACTCTATCAAAAGCCTTTTCTGCATCTAGAGATAATATACTAGTTTCTATGTTTCTACTGTAAGAGAAATCTATCAAATTAAGTAATCTACGCGAATTAGTGGACGACTGTCTACCCTTTATGAAACCAGTTTGGTCAGGGTGTATTAAGAAGGGGGTTACCTTCTCTAATCTTTTTGCCAGGGCTTTACAAATTATTTTGAGATCAACATTAATAAGAGAAATTGGGCGATAGCTGGTTGGAAATGCTGGGTCTTTGCCTGGTTTTAACAAGAGACTAATATTGGCTGAGTTCATGTTTGGCTGTAATCTGCCGCTCTCTTCGATTTCCCTCACCATTCTGAAAAATGTTGGAGCCAAAATGGTCCAGAATTCTTTGTAGAACTCTGCTGGGAACCCGTCTGGACCTGGAGCTTTCCCATTAGTCATGGATTTAAGGGCTTCCTGGAGCTCTGCTGATGTTAGTGGCGAGTCCAGGACTGCAACTTGGCTGTCTGTTAATTTAGGAAGTGTTATCCTATCAAGGAACTCATCGATCTCGTCATCTAATGGGTTTATCTGTGGTGAGTACAAAGTCTGGTAAAAGTCTCTGAAAGTGTTGTTTATTCTTTCAGGGTCATAAACTATATTCCCAGTTGAGTCTTTAACAGCAGATATGGTAGTTTTCTCTTTATTAATTTTTAGTTGGCTGGCCAGAAATTTACCGGATTTATTACTATGTTCAAAGTTTTCTATTCGTAGTCTTTGTGCTAAAAATTGTGTTTTTTTGTCAATAATTCCATGAAGTTCTAATTTAGCTTTACGTAATTTGCTCAGTAACTCTTCTTCTGTGGATGTCTCTAAAGACTTAATGATTTCTTCTAACTCCTGGATACGTTTATTTTCTGTTTTTTTCTTATGTGATGAGAAAGAGATTATTTTACCTCTCATCACTGCCTTTCCTGCCTCCCAGAGAATAGATGCTGATGTTCCAGGCAGGTCATTATGTTCTAAATATAAAGCCCACTCCTTTTTAAAAAATTCTATAAAACCTTCATCTTTAAGCAGTGATGTATTAAACCTCCAGTTTTTGCTTGGTGGGATTGCTTTCTTGTTTACTAGAGTTAAAGAAACCGGAGCATGGTCGCTGACAACAATAGGGTGTATCTCAGTGTCTGAAATGTCAGCCAGCAATGAGCTGCTGACTAGAAAATAATCCAAACGTGAATGAGAGTGATGTACGTGTGAGAAAAAAGTATACTCTCTACGGTTAGGATGAAGAGATCGCCATGCATCACAAAGCCCATAATCACTCATGTACTGTTTAACTATATAAGTGGATTGCCAATTGCGCCGAGTCCCAGCTGTACTGAGCCTGTCTAAGGAATGCATCCAAAGATTAAAATCACCTCCAAGTATAAGTGGACAGTCCAAGTGTTCGGAGAGTACAGAGAAAAAATTATGAAAGAATGGAGGGTCATCAATATTTGGACAGTATATGCTCACAATACATAAGCGTTGGTTCTGTATAGTTATTTTTAACATTATAAATCTACCTTCTGGATCAGAAACTGTGTCCAGTACTGTGAAATTGATGTTTTTGTGTATTAAAATAGCTACCCCTCTTTGCCTAGAGTTATAGCAGGCAGAGAACATGCTGGGAAACTCAGGTGTTTTAAGTTCATCTGCCGATATGGCAGATCTATGAGTCTCCTGTAATAATATTACGTCTGCTTGCATTCTTTTTAACTGATCAAAAATCTTTAATCTTTTATCTCTTGAGCCAGTTCCATGTACGTTCCATGAGACAAATCTTAGTGCACCCATAGATGTGTGTGTGAGTAGCTAAAATATGACGCCTTCATGTGAATAAGATGGAATAAGTATCTAAATGTATAAAATAGTATGTTAATAAATAACAGAAAAGTAAATAATAATAAGGATTCAACAGTGTTTGTGGTTGTATTATTTGACGCATAAATTATGATATTGTGTTGTGACTTAAATATATCCATGTGTGTGTGTGTGTGTGTGTGTGTGTGTGTGCGTGTTCCTGTGTGTGTGTGTGTGTGGGTCTGTGTGTGCATGTGTGTGTCTGTGTGTGTGCGTGCGTGTGCGTGTGTGTGTGTGTGTGGAGTCTGACGCAGTGTTGGAAAGTTGTGTGGTTGTGCCATACAGGTGTAAAGAAGCAGATAAAAAGAGGAAAGGAAAATACAGAAACAGGTTAAAAAAGAAGAAAGAACTAAAAAGAAAAGGTGATGGGGTGTGAGGTGATGATGAACAGGTGAACTCATCATCTAAAACACGGATCTAGCAGCTGTTTATTACTGACGTGCTCAAACCCAGTGAATCTGATAAGAAAAATAAAGGTCTGACCTGATGTTGGGCTAATACAGCCAGTCTGTCACTCCTCGCTCCTTGTAAAGTTTATTATCCACATAAAGCTTATCCACTGAGATGACAGCTCTCTTCCCATCTTGGATAAACTTTTTACGCAGCGGAAAGAGAACTCTGCGCCGATCCAGGATTTCCTTAGGAAACTGGTCATTAACGCTGAAGTCTTTTCCTTTGAGCTCTCTTCCGTGACTTTTAACCAGATCCTTCTGCTTAAAATGTTCAAATTTAGCCACGATGGGACGAGGTCGTCTGCTGTCCCCTCTTTTAGCTCCAAGGCGATGTACTCGGTCGAAGGTGATGTTTTTTACCGTTTCTTCGGGTATCTTCATTTGGGTCTGGAGAAAGTGTTTAACAGTGCGTTCGCAGTCCTCGGCCCCTCCCACCTCCTCCGACAGACCTGCAAACACCAAATTATCCCTCATGCTACGGGTCTGAAGGTCCAAAACCGTCTCCTTCAGAGTTTTGTTGTCCTGGGTGATCCGCGTCATTCCCTCCTCCAGGGAAGAAACGGACTCCCGCAGAGACGCGTTCTCAGCAGCGAGCCGCTCCACCTGCTCCTGGCTGAATTCCAGGGACTGGCGGAGGTTCTGAAACTCCTGGTGCAGGACCTCAAGCAGATGAAGACGCCCCTCAAATCCCAGAAGCCGTTTATCTATGGATTCTAATAATTCCAATATGTCCTTCCGGGGAGATGAGGCCTCAGGCGAGTCCTGAGGGCGGCTCCGCTTCGTCCCAGGTGTTTCAGGTTCACCCGCTGATTTCTTCGGACCCATAACAAATAACTCGAAAACTCCGTCAATAAAGTTCTGTAAACTTTCTAAATTTTCTTCACTTACCTCCAGATTGAGCGAGTTATACTTACCAGATTATTTTTTTGCGTTGTCAGTTTTTAAATTAGGCAAAAATGCATCTGAATTGTTTGTGAATGTTTGCTAACGAGCTGCCATCAGCTTCAAACGCTGCTGTGTCCGGTAATCGGCCGTCAGCGCATGCGCATCTCTCACTCACTGCTAAGTGAACTAAGTGCTAAGTGAAATGAAGCATATCTTTAAAGCAGGGGGCATTAAAGGGGCATTATGGACGTTTGACAGCCAAAACATGTATAGAAATAATAAATGTCTTCTTCATACATTCTCCTGCAATGCCCTGGTCCTGTAGAATGAGCCCTGGCGTTTTTACTGTGATTGCCTGTTTTTCTGTAAAATCACAGAAAAAGAGAGATGCTCGGGTCGAGCAGGCTGCTTCATGCGCGTTCACGCTCAGGCATCGCCCGTAGCATTTGCTATCCGTAGCTTTAGCAGCAGAGAGGTAGTGCCACTTTGTCGCTGTTCCTAATGCCTAGTGATGAACCTAGCTACATTTCTGAGGACCCTTAGCTACTTTCTTCTAGATATTTCCTGCAAATTAGCAACAAAATAGCCATTTACGTTCCGAACTGTTCTTTGAACGTTGTTTCAGGTGTCATCAAGGATATAAATGTTACAGATACAAAAGATGACACTGGTGCTTTAGCTCGCCTAGTAAGACGGCGGACTCTTGTGCCGAGGACCCGGGTTCGATTCTGGGTGTGAACATAGTTTATTTGAAGTTTCTTTTTTACATTAATGGTATATTTTTTTACAGTAAGATGCCCACATTTTTATTTGAGACTTGCCGATCGGCATTGAATTCACAGATAAAAAAGATGTGGGTTCAAATTTCATTTTGGAACAATTTTTCAAGCAAGGGAAGGGAATGATCTGAGCATGCAGGAGGACTGACCCATCATAAACCTTTGTCGGCTGTGCTGAAGAGAAAGGTACAGAACCAAATGATTTAATTAATTAGCTGCACGTTCTCCTGTCCTCTGTCCTCCGGGCCACACACACACACACACACACACACACACACACACACACACACACACACACACACACACACACACAGACACGGGACTGTCTCAGCTGTTATTTTCGTTAAGGAGTGTGCACGTACAGCATGCGCGCCTCGTGCACGAGCCTACTATTGAAGCTGCCGTTACGCTTTTGGCCTGAGGGGGCAATCGCGAGCATAAAAATTCTAAACTCCGTAAAGTCCCTTTAAAGATGTGCAAATGACTGCATTATGTGTAATTTTGACTTTACACCACATGTGCTGCAACTGGGCTGTGAAAGGATTCCTCCAGAAGTCATTACACCTACAAGTCGTGCTGCAGAGTCCACTTCCCCAGATGTTCCCAGTCTAATATGTCACTCTCTTTCCTTGTAGGGACAACAACCAGCTGGTGGCCTTCCTGTCCAAATACAGACGCATGAATTTCATCAAGTCTCACGGCAGGGACAATGCAAGGTAAGATGCACATTTTAAAATTTCATTTTCACCTCCCCCGCAGCAGCTCGCTCTTCTTCTTTACTCGCAGCACCTTTAGAGCACTCCTGCCAGCAGCGTGGACACTGAATCATAACACAATTAGCTCCCATCTGTGGGCTTCATTAATTAACCTTCTTGGCAGGGCAAGCTAGCAAGGTCTCTGCCAGAGTCTATCGATGCTGACGGCACCCTGCTTTCTGCCCCGTCACACCCTGGTGGCAAACCAGTCACCACGTCACGGTGTGGGTAAAAATACCCCCACAGCTCAGGAAACAATGTCCTGCAAAGATGCATGACTCAGCAGTACCTTCTTGTGTTTACAGTCACTTTCTTTTATTCGGTGCACCAGTGGGCGGTGAGAGAAGCTGCTGTGTCCTTTTTACAAACAACACTGCTGTGTGCATGTTCAGAAGGCAAATTAAAAACCTTCGTGATGACATTTACTCTGCAGACGTGTGTGAGCAGCTAGTTTAGGGCATGAGCAGTCATTTAGAGGGAGCAGCCTCACCTGGCTGGCCTGAGTCTGACTCCCTCCTCTAATACCTGATCTGTTTGCAGGAGTAACACAAGCCTGTGTGTGTGTGTGTGTGTGTGTGTGTGTGTGTATAAAATTTTCCATCCAGTGAATGGGGAGATTACAGCGTGAAAAGCAATGGAGTTGCAAAAGTCCGTGAAAAAACGCCGCACAAGTGGTACTCAAAAACTTTTGGCAAGGTTGGCAGGTCTGAAATGAGCTAAAAATAAACCCTGGGTCACTATGGTTGACATTTAAAGATTGCGGGAGTGCCCACCGTCCACCACCTTCTTTAGACAAACTGTGGGAAAAAAGGGTTTCTGCCAGATTTTGCGTAAAATGCAATTGTGTGCAATATTGCATGACCTCATGCTCGTAGTGTGTGACTCTCAGCTAACATGGTTCCTTAGATCAACAGCTGAGTTAGCTAGCTGTGGGGGCGATCCTGACTGAATTAGCTCCTAAAGCTACTGAGTTGGATGTAAATCCTGTCGTTACTTTTTAACACCCCATCCACCCCCCCACCTCCACCCCCACTGTCCTAATGGGTGACCCCGCCAGGACAGTTGACCATTTAGCAGGATTGATGGTTTATCCCTTGAGGTCCATGTGACAGGGGGAGGTGGTGCTCACTCCTCACCCCTGTCACATGGACCCAAGGGATAAACCATCAGTCCTGCTAAATGGTCAACTTTCCTGGCGGGGTCACCCATTAGGACAGCGGGGGGGTTAAGAGATGTTTCCGCTGAAACTACAGACAATTACCCCGGGCTAAATACAAACATTATGGTCCTCTTGGTGCATTTCTGATAATAAATCAGTTTGCCGGAAGAAAAAACAGAAGAACCTGTTTGCTGTTTCTGATGAGGTAAACTGTTATGATTATGTAAACTTAAGGCTCAGAGAGCTTTAGAAGCAGTCCTGAATGAAGCCTTGTTTCCAGTAATCAGCTGTTTAAACCACCTCTTTGTGATTTGGCCACCAGGTTTATCCGTAAGCAGGGTCTGGACCGCCTGTTCTTTGAGTGCGACACTCACATGTGGAGGCTGGGTGACCGGAAAATCCCCAACGGCATCTCCGTGGACGGCGGCTCCGACTGGTTCCTGCTCAACCGCCCGTTTGTTGAATATGTGATCAACTCCGAGGACGACCTGGTGACCAACATGAAGCGGTTCTACGCTTATACCCTGCTGCCTGCTGAGGTAGCGCGCGCACACACACACACACACACACACACTGACAGATGAGGCTTTTACAGGTTCACAGCTTTTTTTCAGCTCCAACAAACACTGCTTTGTACTTTCACTGCATCATTTATTAAACACAAACACTAAATTCTGGTCTCACTGGTGACTCACTGGTGATGGGAGGATGCCGAGTAAAAGTGAAATCTGTGAGGGGAAATTGAAGGTTTATCACGAGGGACTGTTAATCTTTGCTTTCCTCCTGCGAATTGGATGACGGGAGAAAACCAGTGGTTAGTCTTTATTTGTCTGGATGTTTCTCACTTCCCAGTCGTTCTTCCACACCGTGCTGGAGAACAGCGCCCACTGTGAGACCATGGTGGACAACAACCTGCGCATCACCAACTGGAACCGTAAGCTGGGCTGTAAGTGTCAGTACAAGCACATCGTGGACTGGTGCGGATGCTCGCCCAATGACTTCAAGCCCTCAGACTTCCACCGCCTCCAGGTAAAAACATACAAGACCAACCAATAATTCACTTCAATTATTCTTTTTCTGTTGATAATTAAGTGATCTCAATGTTATCTACAAATCTATTGGATCACAAGGATGCTCTATGCTTCTAATGGTTCTGTGGAAATGCCGATGGCTGTAGGTTAATAACGTAAAACAAGTGCTGCACACCTGAAACCAGGGAAGAGAAGCACTGCTGTCTGCTCTCGGTCAGACGCGTCAGCAGCGTGCGACAGGGGAGGACATGAGATGGTTCCTGTGATGTAAGTCTCACAGCCTAACTGGGGGGAGTGGTGTGGTTAGACGCCTGAACCGCCCGTTCTGCAGCTGTCGCACGTTGATGACACGTTTAGCCGTGACCTGACAACGGTGCCATCTGCTTAGTCGCTCCTATCCGAGAGCGTTTTTTCAGCTGGAGGTCCATGAGGGAGCTTTTCCTGAGACCTTTGGTTTGTTTAGTCAGAATGACGGGTTTTTGTTTGAAGCCTGTCTGACATGTTTTCCTGAGACCTGCTCACTAGGGTTGGACATCGTTTGAATTTGAACGATTCCAATTCCTCGTTTCGATTCCGGTTCCTATCAATTCCCGATTCTTTCAAGACGTGACATGTTCAACATGAGCCAGCCAACCACAGGTCCTACTTGATGAAATAATCTGAACTTCAACATGAATTTTAACTCTATGAACAACAACATCACCTTCATTTAGACAGAAACATGTTTTGGAGAAAAAAAGAAAAAGACTTGCAGCACAGCCAGTGTGTTTGTTTCTGACCACAACCAAAGTGTGGAAGAAGCCTCTGGGATGAGAGGCTAAATGTCTCCAACACATCCAGAAACGTCCAGCTGTTTTCAGCTAAAACTCTCAGGATGATCATGTCCAGGATGACTGAGAACTACACCTCCATGCTGCAGCAGCATTCAGTCAGAACAGGAAGTGAAACTTAAACGTAGCTGCTGTCAGTAACAATCTAACAGATTTTAAACATTAAAACTCAACAGAAATAGTTCAGAAAGGAACTTAAAATGTTATTTATTATTATTATTATTATTATTATTATTATTATTATTATTATTTATTGTGGCCGAAGCTGGTGTGGTCCACCACAGAGAAGCTGCTCTAGCATGATGACTTTAATTATTCTACAGGTTATTGTTCAGCCTTCTGACGCACACACACACACACACACACACACACACACACACACACACACACGAGTGTTGGTGAGCGGCTGCGTCTGACTGCTGACGCTCCGTGTGGGTTTTTATTTCTGCAGTGAGACAAACTCACCTCACACCGTCCAGAGTTTGTTCTTTAAAGCTTCTTTTAAATCCACCGTGTTGACGTATTTAACACGTTTCCTCTACGCTGCAGGAGTTAAAGTTGACATCACGGAGTAAAAGTTCGGCAGACGCGTTTGTTTATATCTGGGGGGGGGGGCTCGTGCTGCACACAGACAGCTGGTGTGATCAGCTCTGAAAAGCCTTGATCACAATTTGCAGATCACGTTTATTTTTCACGGAGATCGGCCGCGGATTCCTCTTCCGGTCAGCGTTCTAGGAATCGAGAAAAAAAATACTTTGAACGAATCCGGGAAAAACTCACAGTTGGTCCCGGTTCCAGTCGATGCTCGATGCCCAACCCTACCAGTGCTCACCAATCAGCAGGCTTGTTTTTAGAAACTTGGGAAGCAAAAGTGTATTTTTATAACAACGGTGTAACGAAACAGCTGTGAAGTAAGACGTCTCTAAAACAAAGTGCTGCTTTGTTTCTTAGCCGGTTTGAAGGTCCCGGCCTTCAGAGCTGATGCCGTGTGTTCCCTCGGCACTCATGGTCAATAAAAGCGAAGTTTTGTCTCGATTAGTGAGACCCCCGAGTTGCTCTGCGTGCACGCGAGTGAGGAAGTGGAGCTTTAACCAGCTTAACCAGAACCTCAGAGCGGGGTTTCCTTCATTGTCTGACTTCGAAGGGCCTCCTCAAAAGTAAAAGTTTCTGTGCAAAAATGATTCCAAACGTTCCACAAGAGCCCAGCATCACGTTCATGCTTCTTTTCTAAATCTGTCTTGTTCTCCACACAGCAGCCATCGTGCTGACCTTACGTTCTGCCTTTGCCAAACCCGGCTGTCTCGCAGATCGGTGCCAGCGTATTACCCAGAGTTCCCTGGCACCGCCGCCGGGTCTGGTTGGCACTCAGCATGGTGTCGGTGGAGTCTGACCCTGGGAACAAAGCAGCATTTCCAGAAGCCAACCAGATCCTGTTATTAAAACAAATTCATATCCCATTAAGGAGTGCCCTAGTAGATTTGCTAAGGAACGGTGCAAACAAGAGAAAAAGTGTTCATGGAGTTTTCTGATGCTCTTCTGCGGGTTCGGTTTGTGCAGAGGAGCATATCTGAGTTTCAAATTCAAGTCAATTAGTAAATTTTAACGCACTGTAGCCTGAAAATATCCGTTATAGAAGAACGATCTGCGTCCAGTCACACATCACCCTGAGAAAACGTGCCGCCCTTTGATTGGGTCTTTTTTACTCAGCAGGTAACACCAAAGTGTTTAGCAGAGTGTGATCACTGGTGAATAGTTTAGTGTCTGGGACTAAAATGATGTCTTTGTGTGCACGCCAAGTTCAGGAGGCAGCAGGTTTCATGATGCATCATCAACCACACCAGAAAACCAGAAAAACCGGGAAAATATCAGGGAAGAGACGAGGATTCAGACTGGAAATGATTCAAACTTTTGCACACAGATACCTACAGACTCCACTGGGTACTAACTAGGGGCTGCATGACTACATTTTTTTTAAAGTCGACTGTCAAGTAATGAAAATCGAGTTGACTTTGACTAGTCGTTGATGACGTCATACACCGGGGGGGGGGGGGGGGGGGGTCGGTTCGCTGGAGTTTTTTTTTTTTGACAATTAAAATTGCGCCCACATTTTCAAAGTTAAACACATTTCTTTTAACAACGGTAGTTTCTGCTTCAGCCCCCCCCCCCCCCCCCCCCGCACAGCGGCCGCAAACTCACTGATGCACCTGCAGCCTCTCAGAGTTCCTGCTGCTCTAAACATTAAAATAATTATTTCATTTTCTGTTCCTCACTTCTGATTACCTTCAATTGTGTCTGTTTGTTGCAACCACCAGGTACAAAAACTAACTTGTTTTTATTTGACTATTTTTCTGTCCTGCCTGTTTATTATCTTCCTGCATCTCCTCTCAGTCCTGAAGAGAAACTACTACCTGGGTTCATATATATTCACTTCATGAGTTACCTTTGAACTGCAGTTCTAAAAGATCTACCGACCGCAAAAACAGCGGAGTGCACGCTGCTTGCCGGCGGCATCAGTGATCGGTGCGTCACCGGAGGACAAAACAGGTGAAGCGCTCCGATCCACAGCAGCGAAAAGCATCAGACACAAATAAAAGAATAATGGGCTCGACACACGGGAGGCGACAAACGACCGCGATCAGCGAAATTTGTCGCGGTCGCTTTTATGACCTGTCACACGGGAGGCGATCCGTGGCAGCGGCAAAGCCGTCTACGCGTTCTGTTCCATGGCGAAATCGAAACTTCCATTGTTCTGTTTGGCTGTGTCAGGTTGGAGGGAATTAAGGTTATTTAAGCGGTTCAGAGTTAATAAAGTGGTAGATATGATGTTTCACAAGTTGCTGCTAGAGTTATGTGAAATCTTACTTGTGATTTTACTATAAAACATAATAATAATCAACTTCTCATCCATGTTTGCTCGGAGATGTGCGGAGCATCCTGCCCGCTCATTGGTCAGTGAATGAAACCTCCGGTGATTGGTCCTCGCCCGAGCGACAGCGATGAAAAGTTGAAAATGTTTCAACTTTCTGGGATCGCGTCGCTGGGTCGTCCGTGCACGACACGTGCACGAGTGCAAACTTTCACACGCACGTTTTTCGCATTTCGCTTGGTAGGAGAGAGACCCGCGATTATCGCTTTGTCGCGCATGTCTCATTGAAAATGAATGGAGGAGAGGCGATGTCGCCTCCCGTGTGTCGAGCCCATAAAAGACAGAAAACATGAAAGGAAATGAGCCGACATGAACGATCGCGTGTTAAATTAGTTTTTGAGGTGGCGACACCTGATTTGATAATGTTACTGTGGCCGTGCTCAGGACGCAGATGTCTGGAGCGCGTCAACAATCAGAGCTTTGCATGTGCAAGCTGGTTAAGGTTAGGATGGGGGTGAGGGGAAGGTTAAATTGCAAGAGGGTAAAGGTCACAATTCGGTCAAATGTCCGTTTTACGGCGGGTGTCAATACCGACGCTCTGGCACAGCGCGTTGCCTCCCGACGCGCAGGAGCTTGTCACCTGCTGTCTTTTCCGAGGACAGCATCTTGCCGGTCATTATCCCGTGACAGCGACTAGTCGATGACAAGCATAAAAAGTCACTACAGAGCAGTGAGGTCGACTAGTTCATACAACCCCTAGTACTAACACCGACTGGTGCCTGGGATAAACCCGCGCCACACTGATGGCCTGAGTCATTTCCCGCTCCTGAGATAAGTCCAGCATCCCTTCATTAATACCACATCTCTCGTGATGGGAATAACCATTTCAGGAGATTTTCAGGAAAAATCCAATCCTCTTCGTAAGATCCAAACATTCTCTAGCTAAAGTGAACATGAGCCAACTGGTGCTAAATAAACCACTAAGTAATAATGTTATTACCATATTAATAGACAAAAAATATTATACCTACAAGTCCAGTAGCAACAAAGCCAGGTCACCATCGGTCTGTGACTTTGCAGCCTCCTTTAGCTCCCTCAAACTAGCGTAGGCCGCGCCGATGTTCACTCTGGTTTTAGCTCTTTGCTTCACCTCCAAAATGTTGCTCTCTTACTTTTACTTCCAGGCTCGGCCATGATGCAGTCAACAAGCTAAATTCTTCTTCTTCCTGTGGTGTAGAGCACTGTGGAGTCCTCTGACTCTGAAAGGAGCTACACAAGTGCAGATCATGTCTTGTGCTTTTTATTGAAAGTCGGTGAACAGACAGAGCTAACTGCTAGCCTTCACATTAGCCACCATCACCGTAAACAGCTAACAGCCATAAAAACTCTTCTGTATATTCGTTCTGTGTGTTGATTTATAATTATCTTATTTTTTCTTAGTGAAGTACATCGATGTTTTTTTTACCTTCGGCTGACATGTTTCAGCCAGAACTTCCGCCTTCGTCAGAGCCGCTCGTGGCTTCACGTCCGTTACCATGTCAACTCTGCAGTAAAACATACATAGGAGAAGCTAAAGACACGAAAAGCAGGACGTCAAAAAGAGAGTGAGAAAGAAACAAAACAAAGGCACTCAAGAGCAGCAAAACAGGAAGTGGAAAGTTCAATAAAAAATCAGCGGTAATGGACCATCGCACAAGGAAAATACTGGGACAGCACACGGATCATAAACAAAAAAGCTCTTGCACATAACAGGAAGTGACGCCACGAACAGCTGGCGGCTCTGACGAAGGCGGAAGTTCCGGCATAAACATGTCAGCCGAAGGTAAAAAAAAACATCTAATTACTTCACAGCGTTAAATAAGAAAAAGAAGATAATAACAGCCATAAAGCAGGTAGAGACGTCCCACTAGTGCACTTAACCGTGTGGTTTCTGGTCAGCAGAGGGCGAGAGCGCTGTCTTTAGTAAACAATGTCAATCACTGAAACCAGTTTAAAGCCGTAGCTCAGATGCTAAAACTCTTTTGTGTTGCTTTAAGACTTTAAAGGGAGATGCATGAAATCCCTATCAGTCAATAGCTATGTTGACGTGCACAAGTAACCAGAATGAACGCCCCATCCGATCAAACTTTCGTGACATGCAGACAAGATGACGTTTGTTTACAAACGCATGAATGCTTGGTGCATGTTTGCCACGGCATGACCCGACCATTTCAGTTAGTGTCCATGTTAACACAGGTTTGGGATAAAGTGGCGTTCACAGCTTACAACCAAGATTTGTGTTGCATTGTGGGTAATGCTTCTTTTATCAGGAATAGTAGGCGTGTCCAAATTCAGGGGCCCCCCCTAACCCATCCCTCCAGTCCACGTAGGTCCGGTTCTTCCTCAACCCCAAACACCAGACATGAGCCTTCCCACCCTGACGTCAGTGTATGTGTTGTTGCTTAGCAACCATGACGCACTAAACAGAAGTTAAAAATAAACTCAGTGGCGCAACATGGAGAACTACGATGGTATCTGTCATAACTGCCTGTTCCCGCAAATGTTTCTGTTTGTTATTTTATTAACAAGTATGAAAACGTTAAAAGCCAAATAACACAACAGCTTTACGGTTTTGTCCAGTTTCGTCCAACATTAAAATGAGAACAAAAATCCCCTTTGGGGATACACCAGACCTCTCCTAGAAGCTCGGGTAAATTCAGGATGCATTTGGAGTAGGGCTGCAACTAATGACTATTTTAGTAGTCGACTAGTCACCGACTATTGAAACGATTAGTCGACTAATCGGATAATTATTAAATTTTTCTTAAATTTAGTGTGAGATTGCTTTATTTGTGTGAAAAATGATAATAAACACAAGAAAGTTGGGTACTTCAATGGAAAAATGCATATTTTATTGAACTCTGCTGCTGATAGGCCGATTCATACTAAAGTAAATAAATATGTCTAACACCAAGTAGGCACAGTGCCCAGTCAGTACAGACATAAATGCATAAATAAAACTAAAATACTTTTGTCAGACACAGTCGGGCATAACATTAAATCTCTTTTTAAAAGTGAAAATACGTTTAAAAAATGTCCATCCAAAACAAAACGTGTTGGCTTTCCTGTTATTTAAATCTTACCGAGGCGAGTCAGACTCTGTTTCATTCAACTGTCCGACGTGCTTTCTATTTAAGTGTTCGTGCATCACCGAGGTGCTGCCGTGATACGCGAGGACTGCTTTGCAAATAGCGCAGGTCATCTTTTTATTCGCCGAATCCCGGCTAGAATGCTCCCAAACTTTAAATGTTTTGGTACGCGTAGCTGCGGTGTCGGACGCCGCCATTTCTGTTAGTTGGCGCTCAGCAGAGAAGCTATTACGCACGTATGTCTGGCTACAACGTCGACGAATCGCTGCAGCCCTAATTTGGAGTATCCTTCAGTTTTAGACACCCTTGTTGCTTTGTTGTGGCACAATCGGATTTAAATCTTGTACTCAAAAAAGATGCAGCTCCTGGATTTGAGATTTGGATCTGAAAAATACTGAATAGTGGATGTAATGAAGTTCACATTTGTAAGCATACGAGGAGTGGGCCTTCTGTAAACTCTTCCTCTTCTTCCATTCCAGTGGCCATTAGTTTTGTTATGACTGCAGGAAGTGTGATTTAGTGACACAAGTCTTTGTCACCACATTTATCACCCTGAGGTGAAGGAAGCTGGAAGCCAGAGGACCGAGTTAACGTTAGACAGCAGATCATCGTTGCTGTCCTGCAGTTCCTTCTCCAAACAGCTGGTGTCACCAGAGAAACAAGCAGCACAGCTGCAGAAACGGCAGCAGAAGAAGAGCTTTCACTAGCATGTTCATTCAGGCACTGGGGTGTGAAATGTTACCGAATTACCACCCAGTTCAAGAGGAACCGCCTGCTTCCCTCTGCGGGATTAACAGCGGTAAAAACCCTGAACAGAGAGATTAAACAGGTGTTGTCTTTATTCTGTCATCAGAGATGATCATCTTTAAACCCTCCGTGACTCTTCTGCTTAACCCCTGCTGCTTGGCCCTTCCCATGAGACGTGAAGCAGCAGGGGAGCAGCTGTCACCGACAGAGCACGAAGTCACACGAGTGACTTCATCAGTAAACACAACAACAAGCAGGAGAAAACTACAACACGGCTCCAAAAGATTTGTGTTTTATGTTCTGTCTGTTTTATAATCGCCAATACGGACCTGAAAAACAAAGGAGACCGCTAGCTAGGTGATAACTTCTCACGGGGCCGCACAGTTAGTAACTTTTTTTTAAAGTAAAGCAACCGGAAGGCAGTACGTTTCTTTATTCTGAAAATCTCGGGAGCTTCGCTCCGTTTCCGCGTCCGATTTCCTGTCTTTCCTTCCTCAAAAATGTCGAACTTGACCCGTTTCAGAGGCGTCGCGTGTAGAAAATAGAACCGGCGCGTAAAGGCCGCGACATGCTGCTCCTGAGACGCGGCCGGCTCACGCTGCTGACAGTTGCTGACGGCTCTGGTGGAAAAGGTTCTGTTGACCACAGCGGTTCCTATCAGCAGCTATGACGTGCTGCTGACGGCTCCAGTGGAAAGAAGGGGTTACACAGCAAAGCATTGTGGGTGTTTTGATTAAGAGCTAACATCAAGGTGACAGAAAGAGTTAAAAATGAGAGTAAAATGTTGGTGAAACATGTTCTAACCTCTGCTACCTTCAACCTCTCCCCTTTTATCGGACTGGCTCCGCCCACTTCCACACATCCCCACCATGTATAAATCTGTTGCTTTCCTTCTCTTTATCTTCTCATCCCTGGTTTGCTCCTCCACTCCCTCTCTTTCCTCCCTCTGCATTTGTAGCAAACGGTCCGGCCCACCTTCTTTGCGCGGAAGTTTGAGGCCAGTGTGAACCAGGAGATAGTGAACCAGCTGGACGCCTACCTGTTTGGACCGTTTCCACAGGGGACCCCGGGGCTGAACTCGTACTGGGAGAGCGTGTACGACGAGCCAGATGGTGTCGCCAGCCTGTCTGACACGCAGCTCACATACTACCACTCCTTCGCTCGCCTGGGCCTCGCCAGAGCTGCTGCCTCACTGCAGGGGAACCAAAACGACCACAGCTGCAGGTGAGAGTTGGGAGGGAACACGCAATCCCCCACAGGCACTCACAAACACGCGTGCTGTATGTGGGTATGCGTTTGTTTCTCTCCACATCCATTCTCATCACCGCTTCTTTTACTGCACACCTGCACCTCCTGTTCACCCATAGGTGCACTCGGGTTTGTTTTCCTCTCCAAAGCCAGCCAGGCCTGGATTAGCATACAAAAACCAACATAAAGAGCATAAAGGGCCTTTTGTTTTCCTCCTCGTGCGTCGTCTCAGAAGATCACATGTCATGGAAACCAGATAACAATGGATAGCTTCAATAAGCAGCTGGGAAGTCTGGGTAAATGCTTTTCATTTTGTAACATAATATGACACCGACAAATCATCCCAGAGATAATGAGCCTATGAAGGACACACCACTGAGAGCTGGCCTGTAGGCTCGTCTACTATTGGTGGAAATAAATAACATGCTACATGGCATAAAATGCCCTTCGTGTTAAACAGCCAAATGGAATTAGTTAGCCTCGTGGTCTGAACTGTTGTTAGATTCAGATTTTTGTGTTTCATCTTTACTGACCCATCTGGTGTAGGAGCAGGACAAGAAGTGGTTAAAAACGTTCGATCAGCTCAAACTCTAAAAGCGGCCCAGTGTTGTGCCCAAACACGTTCGTTGAACGGTCTTTTTTCGAGAGCATGAACTTAACTCGTTGGTATTTGCCTGTTGAACGTTAAAGTGAGTGTGTTTGTTCTGGCAAGCATGAACGGGTTTATGAACGCGTTCTTTGGACGTTCGAGCTCCAGATCACCACAGAGCTAAAGTCTAGATAAAGCATCCCGTTAACCTGATGTGACCCCCATAGGCAGCGGTGCGGCGTCTACTCACACCGGTAATATTTAACTATTCCTTTATTTATTTATTTTGTTTCCTACTAAATCATTTGGGGCTGATTGTTGCTCTTTATGACCCAAGCTCTATATTTCCTTCTGTGGGCAAACAAGTCAGAAAATTCATAGAATTAGAGAAGTTCCTAAATGTAATGATAATTAAATATTTTTGCAATTTGACGCACTTCCTTGTTTCCTACCTCAGCCTAGCCCTTCCCTCTGGCTGATTAATAATTCACCGTATATATATATATGTATATATATATATATATATATATATATATATATATATACACATACATACATACATCCATATACAGTGGGGCAAAAAAGTATTTAGTCAGTCACCGATTGTGCAAGTTCTCCCACTTAAAATGATGACAGAGGTCAGTAATTTACATCATAGGTATACTGTGAGAGACAGAATGTGAAAAAAAATCCATGAATTCACATGGCAGGATTTTTAAATTTATTTGGAAATCAGGGTGGAAAATAAGTATTTGGTCAATAACAAAAATTCAACTCAATACATAACCTTTGTTGGCAATAACAGAGGTCAAACGATTACTATAGGTCTTTACCAGGTTTGCATACACAGTAGCTGGTATTTTGGCCCATTCCTCCATGCCGATCTTCTCGAGAGCAGTGATGTTTTGGGGCTGTCGCAGAGCAACACGGACTTTCAACTCCCTCCACAGATTTTCTATGGGGTTGAGGTCTGGAGACTGGCTAGGCCACTCCAGGACTTTCAAATGCTTCTTATGGAGCCAGCCCTTTGTTGCCCGGGCGGTGTGTTTGGGATCATTGTCGTGTTGGAAGACCCAGCCACGTTTCATCTTCAAAGCTCTCACTGATGGAAGGAGGTTTTGGCTCAGAATCTCACGATACATGGCCTCATTCATTCTGTCCTTAACACGGTTCAGTCGTCCTGTCCCCTTAGCAGAAAAACAGCCCCAAAGCATGATGTTCCCAGCCCCATGCTTCACAGTAGGTATGGTGTTCTTGGGATGCAACTCAGTATTCTTCTTCCTCCAAACATGACGAGTTGAGTTTATACCAAAAAGTTCTACTTTGGTTTCATCTGACTACATGACATTCTCCCAATCCTCTGCTGCATCATCCATGTGCTCTCTGACAAACTTCAGACGGGTCTGGACATGCACTGGTTTCAGCAGCGGAACACGTCTGGCACTGCAGGATTTGATTCCCTGCCGTTGTAGTGTGTTACTGATGGTGACCTTTGTTACTGTGGTCCCAGCTCTCTGCAGGTCATTCACCAGGTCCCCCCGTGTGGTTCTGGGATTCTTGCTCACCGTTCTCTTGATCATTTTGACCCCACGGGATGAGATCTTGCGTGGAGCCCCAGATCGAGGGAGATTATCAGTGGTCTTGTATGTCTTCCATTTTCTGATAACTGCTCCCACAGTTGATTTTTTCACACCAAGCTGCTTGCCTATTGTAGATTCACTCTTCCCAGTCTGGTGCAGGTCTACAATTCTTTTCCTGGTGTCCTTCAAAAGCTCTTTGGTCTTGGCCATAATGGAGTTTGGTGTCTGACTGTTTGAGGCTGTGGACAGGTGTCTTTTATACAGATAATGAGTTCAAACAGGTGCCATTAATACAGGTAATGAGTGGAGGACAGAAAAGCTTCTTAAAGAAGACGTTACAGGTCTGTGAGAGCCAGAGATTTTCCTTGTTTGAAGTGACCAAATACTTATTTTCCACCCTGATTTACAAATAAATTCTTTAAAAATCCTGCCATGTGAATTCATGGATTTTTTTTCATACTCTGTCTCTCACAGTTGAAGTGTACCTAAGATGTAAATTACTGACCTCTGTCATCATTTTAAGTGGGAGAACTTGCACAATCGGTGGCTGACTAAATACTTTTTTGCCCCACTGTATATACATACATTTATACATTTATATATATACACATATATGTATATATATACACATGTATATATATATATATATATATATATATATATATATATATATATATATATATATATATATTTATAGGTATGTATATACATATATATATACATACATATGTATATGTATATATATATATATATATACATACATATATATACATATATATATATATATATATATATATATATATATATATATATATATACATACATATATATATACATATATATGTATATAAAACTATATATATTTATGCACACTTGTCCAGTCTGGTAGCTTTACTTCAGGCGTGTAATGATAGCTCAGCTGGTAAGGCGTCTGTCTGATACGACGAGGATCCGAGTTTGAGTCCAGACAGGAACATTCAATATTCTGTCTCCAATTGCTCTTGTAAGTCACTTAGGACAAAAGCGTCTGCTAAATACATAAACATAAATACAACTGTAACGTTAACATAAACAACTGATTTAGTTATAGCCGATCCATTTTAACGTTGCTGGTGACGCTGAAATGGGTCGACGTTTGTCTTTGGGCAGCAGGCACATTCGGTTTGGAGTGAAGTTAGTTTGAGTAATCTTACTTATTTATTCTTGTCAGCTAACAGTAATCAGCAACAGATCTAAAATAATATCCGTCAAATAGATGGAGTTATGGCTGCTGAAGCTGTGGCAGCCATCTTTAACCAGGTTGACACGAGGGGTGTGACCGAGTCCAGGGGCAGCATCCCTGTCCTACCTGGTACACGTAGGTCGGGTACTTCCTCGACACAAAGACCAGAAAATAGCAGCTGTGAAGGTCCAGCCTCATATTTATCCCTTTCTCAGCACATGTCTTGTCACCTAGCAACAGTGGCTACGCTGAACAGAAGTTAAACTTAGCAGTGATACATGAAGAGCTACGGAACCCATCATACAAGCACGTTCACCAGGATTTTTCTTATAATTTTCCTCAACGATTATAAAATAAAACGACACTACTGCTTCAAGTTTTCTTTTCAACACCAAAAATAATACTAATATCTATTAATGTACTAATATTTACAGCTGTAACCTTCTCCGGTTTTGCCCCCGTTATTACGAGAACAAAAACTTCCTGTTCGGCCCGCAATGAATCCTGGGAAAGCTCACGCCAGACCCCGCCTCTAAATCCGGGGAAATTGAGGATGCGTTTTGAGTATGCTTTAAATTTGGACATCCTTGGAAGGATGTGGACCTGGATTTGGACACAGCCCAAAAGGTCATCAGCTGTAAACAAACATCCAATCAGAATTCTACGAACAAAATCATGATATTAAAAGATGACAAACACTAAAACGACTTTTCCCAACAGAAGTCAGGAGAAATGAGTCTAACTGGGAAACAGCGTGAAGGATACTTGCTTCACACTTCATGGAGACAAACTGATTATGTCTGCTGTAGATTTTGTTGGTAGCCATCCAAAACGCCAATCTGCTTTGTTCTGCCGGGGAAAGTTTCAGAAATCATTAAGGAAGCTGACAGTCAGCTTCACTGATGGCGCCGGAGATCCAGGCAGCCGGAGCAATCACCACAGCTGGAGTGTGAGCCGCACACACACACACAGCTGCATTTTGGGTGTTCTATAAAATCTTGCAGGTAAATGAAAGTGATGGGAAAATAAAACATGGTTATGTGGTTTCAAGTAATTGTGTACAGCTGTTTCTGTTCAGATGCAGAATCACTTCAGAGGAGAGCAGGAACATAGAAACCTGGTTTATTTATGCAGCCTTGAGAGAAAAGGTGTGTGTGTGTGTGTGTGTGCGTGCGTGCGTGTCTGCTAGGTCTTCTCCATCCCCAGTGAGTCGTGGAGGATGGCTGCTTATACTGAGCCAGGATCCTCTGGAGGTTTCTTCCTGTTAAAAGGGAGTTTTCCTCTCCACTGTCGCTGCATGCTTGCTTAGTATGAGGATTGCTGTAAAGACCCTGACACTAGTCAGTGACTCGATGCGACCTGCTGGGTTCCTTATATAGGAAATATTTTACTGATTGGCTCAATGACCTGACCTGTACTAGTTACTGTGTGAAGGTCCTTGAGACGACTCTGGTCCTGACTTGTCGCTTTCTAAATAAACTGGATTGAATCAGATTCAGCCCCTACGACTGAGGTCTATGGGTCGTTACGTAGGATGGTTTGCCAGGCTACTAGAATGGAGTTTTCTGCAATGATTTTGTCTAAAATTGACCTCAGAATGATGTTTTAACATGTGTGAATGTTAGCAGGGAGCCCAGCGACAACACCACATCGCTATTCGGTTTGGTTTAATCAAGAGATAACGGGATCCGGCACCAACCATATTAGATCGGTCTTAACAGAGGAGACAGGAAAAACTAGATGTGTTGGTAATTCAGCCACTTCTGGTTTATTGGTGTAATAAGGGAATTTACAGTTGGTGTGGTGGAACGATGCAGGGCCTCTCTGGAGCATTTTAGATCGTATTGATCTGGAATTTTACAGATCAAGCCAATTAAATGAATCGATCAGGTTTTTCCCTTGAAGCATGTCACAGCAAAAGAGCTCACTGGGAAACTTATTTTGTACAAGCTGTGTGTGTGTGTGTGTGTGTGTGTGTGTGTGTGTGTGCGTGCGTGCGTGCGTGCGTGAGTGAGAGAGAGAGAGAGAGAGAGACTGTAGCAAAAAGAGCGATTTGGTGCTTTTAGCAGCTTTTTGTGACTTTGCTTGGGGAAACTGGAGTAAAAGCCTGACTGGAGCTCCTGCCCAGTTTACGCCTCGGCTCCCTCTCATGCAGGCAGTCATGTCCCTTTTTGCAAAGACAGGTCAGGGGATTGAAAGCTGAGGAAAAGCAGAAAGAATGAAGGGAGAGAGGTAGGAAAACGGATGAGGCTAAAGGGAAAATATAGCAGAGGAGAAAGAAAGACACAGACAAGGAGGGGTGCATTGCAATCCTTGTGGGTGTAAATATTTGCTGTTCTGCTTGTCAGGGTAGCATTCACCGGGACTGGTTGACTCCAGGTCCTTCAGCTGAATACTGATGAGGCTTTAGCCACAGTGGAGCAGGGAGGGGGCATGTCGAAGACGAATGAGGAGTTTAGGAAGCACAAGGAAGAGAAATCTGGGTGAGGAAGAGTCTGATGTGTGCAGTCAGCAGCTGCTGAGCAGTCCTCAACCGTGCCCGGCCTCAACACTTTTTTGTTTTTGCAGAAGCCACTCAGGCTGGCTGCTCGAGGGCCAAGCTTCTGCCACAGATGAAGTGAAGCACAAAAAAAAAAAACAGGCTAATCAGACGCGCGAGTCGGTCGTTGGACTTCTGCATGGCCCCCGTTTAATGATTTTATATTTGATGATTCAGTTGATGGCCCAACAGCAGGTCAGATCAAAGACCCTTAAACCTAAAGTGTCCACCTGCTTCTGATCGGCTGCAGGAGTCATGCAGGATGTCAAAGACGAGAGGTTCAGTCACCGAAGCGAGGCCGCGACGGCGCGCGGGTTCACCTGAATATTCTGTATTGTCGACATGTCACAGATTGAATTTGTTAAAGGTCATTGAATTAATGTCCTCCATGTCACAATTACAGAGTGCACCGACTCCTGCTAACCTTTACTGCAAGTGCACATTAGCATCCTGACACATTAGCATGTCCAAGGCAGGTTCCCTCCAGACGCTATCTCCGTGAATCATGATATCCATCTCTTCTTACAGCATCAGCCCTGAAAGCTGCTCAGTCGCTTCAGGCCGGCTTCTCTAATGGATTCTGTCTTCTCAACACGGTTTCAGGTACTTCCCCATGGGCCACCCGGTGTCGGTGCACCTCTACTTCCACTTTGACCAGTTCCAAGGCTACTTGGTCAAGCACCACGCCACAAACCTAGCAACAAGCAAGCTGGAGATCATGGAGACCTGGGTGGCACCCAAGAAGAACTTCAGGCTGAGCACACCTGCCGGCAGCACATCCAGCAGGTTACAGTTTGCAGAGGTGAGCTTTCTTCAAACGAGGCCCAAAACACGAATTTTTCAGGGATGACAGACATACAGCGCGTAATTAGAGACGGGACATATGGCCCGTCGCCATGGCGACCTTCTGTTCTTATCTATGATGTCCTTGCTGAGACTTACGTCTCTAACAACTGAACGTCTGCCTGCAACGGCCTTGTGAAATGTAAATTGATTGTATTCGTCAGAGTTTACGGGGATGCGCTGCTTATTTGTCGTCTCCTGATGCTGCTCACCTTCACACTGGGATGCGTCCCTCGATTGTCTTGTTATGGTAATCTTTGTTTGTGTTTACCACCACCACGCCTGTTCAGTAAACAGCTGCTCAGCCATAACGTGACAGCCAGAGTGTCTTTTAGAAAGAAATTAACTGAGTGAAAGGAAATTGACCTTTTCTCTGCCTCATCCCACACGGCTGTGTGTGTGTGTGTGTGTGTGTGTGTGTGTGTGTGTGTGTGTGTGTGTGTGTGTGCGTGTGTGTGTGTGTGTGTGTGTGAGCGCGGTGCCGGCGCTTGTACACCTGGACTCACCTTGACCCTGTTTCAGAGCAATCACGGAGGGATCCTGTCACTCGGCTCCCTCTCGGCGGGCCCGGTTTCTGTGCTCGGCCCTATGAAACCGTGAGTGGCAGAAAGGTGACGTGTACGGTGGCTTTTATCTGGATGCTAAGCCCGGGAAAGCTTTTGCTGTCTGGCACAGCACAGCGGCTGTCAGTCAGTTTGTCCGCGTGTCAATCAGAAGCAGCAGAAAGAGCTTAAACGAGACGGCACAGCGCTGCCGCCGTGGGTCTGTGCGTTTTATCAACTTAGCCGATATGAACCATGTCGCTGGAGTGTTTCAGATCAACCGTACTGTTGGTTTAACAACGTGTTCTTTCTGGTGCCAACCCCGTAGCGGTTGCAGCTTCCTTTAGATCCTTTAACGACATGATTTAGTGGAGGACAACTAAAAGCCAGCAGTTTAAATGATTGTTTCACCTCCAGTCGATGTGACACTGAGAGCTGTTTTAGACTCTGACTTACTTATATTCTAGTCCTTGTTCTGCCAGATAGGAATGCGTTTGTTTCATGTGGAAAACAAAACAGAAGCGAGGCTTCTTGATGTCGTGGAAGTGGGTTCAGTGACTCGATTATTGGTAAAAATGTGTCTTTTTGTAAAGCTAGCTGCAGAGCAGCAGCACAAGAAGAATTCACTTTCTCATTAAACTCCACCTCAGCTTGGCGTACGCGCCTACCCTCCTACCTTCTTAAGGGTCTCATTCATTCATACCGCCAATAAATCATCCGTGGGCTCTGGGATGAATGAGTGAATGCCCTGTGAGTCGTTTTCTGTGTAAAAACTCAAACATGGAAGAGCTAAATAATCAGAAGCTCATAACTGGCAAAAGTTAAAATTGAAGGGAATCATAAAAGTTGTGTAATCAGCGGTAATCAACATAATGCAAATATGTGTGTATTGGAAGGTGTCTTTCAAAGAATAATATAAAAATAAAGAAGAAACACAAGAAGTTAATCAGTGTTAGTGATCAAACCTATATGTGAACGAACGTACCACAGAAGGAATTGGAGGTCAGTATCGGAAAACTGAAGTTAAAATTAACTTAAACCAGTCATAAAATGTGTCAAAATTGTAAAAATTCTAAAATCTCTGGGAATTGTTTCCGGGGTAGACGTTTATATTTCAAGGTATCCGCGGGTCCTTAAAAAGTCTTAAATTAGCTTTTCCTAATTTAAGGCCTTAAAAGTCCTTAAAAATGTCAAATAATCCTTAAATCCAGTTTCCAGAGGTCTTAAATTACCAAAAACCCAATAAACAAGATTCTATTATTTCTATAAAAATTTTGTGAATTTCCAGTTAGTGTTCAGCATTTTTTGTGTATGACGTTGGCGTAAGCGGAACCGTACGCAGTCAGTTGGGTGTGAAAGGGGGCTATTTTTCCAGATAAGCACATTAGCTGGTTAAGCTAGTGGGAGCTTGCGCCATGGGGAAGGGCAAGTTTAATGGTAACTGGATGGCTAATCCCACGTTTGCGACGTGGTTAGCACCGGTTCCAGGCAATAGCTGGAAATTATCGCTTAAATTAAATTTTTAAAATAGCTTAAATTTGGTCAAAGTGGCCTTAAAAAAGGTCTTAAAAAGTCTTAAATTTGGCTCCCTTAAATCTGCAGATACCCTGTATTCTACAACCCCCCAAGATGCTTCACAACTAATCAGGCATTCACCCATTCACACACACACGTTGGTGACAATGAGCTACAATGTAGCCAGGTGAGGATGAACACAAGCACCACCAGCAGGTAAAGCGGCTTAAGTGTCTTGCCCAAGGACACGACTGCAACAGATGGAATTCAAACCTGCAACCCTCTGGTTACGGGGCTGACACTTAACTCCTCAGCCACTGGTGCATGGCATTCAAACATCTTGCCTCTGATTGGCTAACAGCTCTTCTGCTGTCCTGTGGAGTAGCTAATGGTTAGCCTTGGGACGCGCTCTGCTCTCGCGTTCCTGGGAGTGGTTACGAGCTGAGGTGGGCGGGGCCATCTTAGAGGAGACTGGGTTTTTTCATAAGGAGCGAATATTATGCTTCCCTTGAAAGGTAGACAAATGGTAGCAGCTAAGATTTTGCTCTGCAGGCTGGTGTTGCCATGGTGTTGCCTACTATCGGCTAAGCTAAGTTTCACCTGGGCCAAACACAGCGCTCTATGTTTATAGAGACACACACTGGGCTGGCTAAAGCTTGGTTTATGCTTGACGCATTTACTTTCCGCGCGGTGATGCGGCTCGCGGATGGAACGCCCTTCACAACTCGCAGCGTTTATGGTTTGTGCGGCTCGTCTCTGCGGTGAGCCAATATTCTCCCAAACTGAACGGGGCAGCATGGAGCTCTACGGCATGCACCCAACACTACACCATAGTAGAAGTAGAAATTACTGTTTACAACATGGCATTTCAGCATTTTTAACAGCGTCCTCGTCTTTTCCGACAGTGCGAGCTATTTCTCTCCAAGAATCATTAACAACATGTTGATCACGGTGATCTCTGAGAGCTGAATCATACAAATGTCTGTATTTACGAACCTCTGCCATACTAGTTCTTGCCGGTCCGCCAAGTTTTTCCGCGTCCGTCCGTCCGCGTGGATAGAAATTTTCCGAGGTGCGCGTTGCGGAAATCTTGGGCCGTGCGGAGACGCGGTGGAGGGGCGTGGTTGTTAAAATGACGCAACTTTTCCGCGCGGAGCTGTGCGGACCTCGCGGATGCGTCAAGCATAAACCAACCTTTAGCACCATTATGGCGGAGATTTTCTTTGTTGCGAAGACTGCAGAGCTGTGACGGAGTAAAACTACAAAGATGGCAGTGGCTCAGAATCGGTGCTCGTTCAAAAGGACTTTGATTTGAACTCTGGCCGATCTAGACTTGGGCTTTCCTTTGAGACATGAGCAGATAGAGGTTCTTCTTCTTCGACTGATTGTTGTTGCTATGAATGAGTCCCGTTGCTCTGATTGGTCCAAGCACTAACCCTAACCACCCCACGACTGAGCGCCCTCTGTGGGTCAGATTATTCATTTACATGAATAGGACGACTCACTGGGCTAGTATTGCATGACTTCTCAGTGAATCAGACCTTGAAACATTTATTAAACGATAGTTATGATATGCTGTTATTATTTAAAATGTTCCAAGGACTTTCTATGCCGATGTGTTGCATTTTCAACATTCCTCTGACCTGTAGAGGCAGCATAGAGGAAAGTATTGATTTTGTGCAACATTCAACGCAATTGCTGCCATATTGTAAACCCCAACCAAATGTTACGCTACCATAGCAGCAGGTGTTGTTTCCTGCTAATCAAAATGCTCTGTGTGGTCGTATTCCTTCTGTGTCTCCCCTTCGGCCATCAGCTTAGTATTTTAAAAGGTATCTGAACAGATTGGGCCCAAGCCAAGCCCTGCATGAGCTAGCATAGGACACACACATTACCAGCGTTGCACATGTTGCCGTCACTTGTCCGTTACTCCACCAAGTTTCGTTATTAGTGATCGCCCGATAGGGAAGTAGGAACCCCGGGAGATTTCTGTGGAACATCTCCCTCACCTGGGTTTGATTTCCTCTTCCTCCCACAAAAAAAGTGCCACTAATGAGCCTCTTGGGCCGCTGAAGCTCGGTGGCTTCAAACAGGGCCAGATGCAGAGTCTGGCTGTCCCTGCCCTCGCCTGATCAAACTGACCTGCCTTATTTAATGGACGTGTCAGACGGTTGGCGCCGGGGAAACAGGTTTACAAGGGTCACAGGTCAGAAAGAAGAAATGGAATCGAGCCAGTTATGAGATGGGAGTGTTTTATGTTTTCTATTAAGCAAGCGCTGGGTGTTGAGTAGAGAACGAAACCAGTGATATAACGACGGGGTGGAAAAGAGTAATAAAAATGAAATCAGATGTAAGTCGTTATTAAATCAGAAGTTTCTCCTTTCGGGTGTCTTCTTGTCTGGTTGATGACAGAGAACCGGGGTTGGCTTTCTCCTTTTTCATGAAGTGACGTGGTGAACGCCACCAGTTAGGAAACATGGCCGAGTTGGTGTGAGTAAACAGGACCAGACCAGTGGAGGCTTGGGAAAACGCAGCAGCGGTGTGTTCCTTTATAGAAACCCTAAAAGTTGTAAGACTTAATTGGGTCTTACAGCCAAAGCTTACGGGATAAAAGCGCCGCGGCGCCGTTCGGTTTGGAGGTCGTGTGAGCTGTAGGCTGGAAGGTAATCCCAGTGTGACCTCTTTTCACTTTGGGAGAAGTTTTCTGCTAAGATTAAAGATATATTCATTTGTTCACAAATGACACAATTAAGAGCAGAAAATACTCCTGCAAGGATAAACCCATATTAGTGGTGCCACCTTAGCAGTTAGTTACTGCCCCGTGCTGCAAGGGAGGAGGAGAGCAGTGGCTGTTTAGGAAGACGTCCTGTCAAACCAGCGTGGCATCCGTCTTACTGGGTTTCTGCGCCCACTGGAAACGTGGAACTTCAGCAGAACCTTCTGTGCTAAGTCCAATATTTGTTTCCGAGTCTGGGCCTTGAGGGTTTCCCTCCGACCTGCGCCACGTGAACAGGCTCCAACTTTAGGCAGCGGCCATGAAGGGAAGTGAGACTTCTCTGTCAGAACTGCTTACATCTCTTTCCAGGATTTAATTTGAGGGTTTATTGTTCCCGTCTTGCATCAGGTTAAGAGCTGCAGAGGTGTCAGACAAGACAGCTGATTAGTTGTTTAAACGCAAGCTGGGGGAAGTGAAACGGAGCTCAAAGGAGCCAAAACCAGCGAGGTCTCAATTTAGATGAAAGCGAGGCGTCTTTAACAAGTGGCTGAGAATCTCAGTCTTTGGCTGTTGGTCTCATTAATGCAGAGAAAATGTCTACTTTTACTGTGCATCACAATCTCAGCTCTCCGAGGATTTAATACCGAGTCGTTCCAGTCAGCCATTGATCCTCCATCAGGGTGAGGCCGTGTTAATCAGCTGCCATTGCTCTCACATTTCTGCCAACATCCCAGACATCCTTTAATGTCAGGGCGTGTGTGTGCGTGCGTGCGTGTGTGCGTGCGTGTGCGTGTGTGTGTGTGAGCTGCAGCTTTCACCGCCCTCCTCATCAGTGTCATGGCTCCACGTCTCCTTTTGCACGTCTTTGTAATTAAACCCCAAACTCAGTTCTTCTGGGGCCGGTCTCCACCAGAAACGAGGCACGCAGCTTGACTGATGCTGGGGTTTGCTGTTTTTACTTTTTATTTTGTTTTAAAAACCAAGAGGAATAATCACTGTTGTCCCATCCCTGAGTTAATAATGCACTTCTGATAACAACCGAACATCTGCTGCTGTATTAAATGGTAGCGATATAAAAAACCTTTGAGTAGCTCCTTGTTCCTCCGGCGGTCTGCCAGCGCCGCGCGAGCTGTCAGCTAGTTCCATGTTCGACAGCCGGAGGCACTTTGTGTCTCTCATTCAGCTCAGATATATTTTACTCACCGATACTGTCTGTTCAATTTTTATACTCACTTTATTTATCTTAAATTGTCACGGGGAAAGCAGCTCTCTCAGCCTTTGATGGAAGCGTTGAAAGCCTATTTTTATGTGGCTCTTCTCTCAAGACTTCCTCTTTTTTTCCATCCTGTCAAAATAAAAGCTGCTATCTCGGCGTCTGAATGTACTCCGTGTCTTCCACTACTTGGGCTTTTTTTTCTAACTGATGCTAGGTTATAATCTCCTCCACTGCCGAGGCTGTTCAGGGCGAACGTTTCTCTGGGTGGACGCCGGTGCTCGCTGCCTCCCGCCTGGTAACAGCTGATTCTCAGGGTTCGGTCATGCGTTCATCCTGCTCTCTCCAAGTCTGAGCTTAAAACAAGTTCCTGTAAGAGATCTAGACAGACAGTAGCAGCAGGTCTACCATTGGCCCCAACAGTTCTAGGCCTGGCCTATCACAGCGCTCTGTTTGTCAGCTGGGCTTAGCACCAGAGCTTGCAACAGAGGAAAAACTACAAAGATGGTGGTTGCTCCTTCCATACGGATTTGGCATCAAATCTGAACTATTTAGACTTTTGTTTGAGTCGAGAGCCGGTCGAGGTACCTACGTTCTTTATTCAGGGATGTATTTGTGTCTTCTTCTATGGTGCGCTGCCCGGTTGACATCCGTGGTGATGGATGCATCACATTGTTCATTGCTCTGATTGGTCCCAGTGCTGTCCAATAGCATGCAGAGACTGTTTGAAAGACAACCACAGATTCCGTCCCACGAATGACTCTGTCTGTGAGCGTGGCCACACGATAGATTCACATCTATTGGATGGTTTGTGGATTCTGGTCACATGTTCCTGGTTTTCTTTGTTCTGCTAGAAGTTGAGGTGATTGTTTTTTTTTACTTCCTGTTCCTCAGATTTTCTTCTTTCCTCTGTTCTTAACCTGTTCGAACGTTTCCTCTCCGTCAGATCGGCACAGAGTGGGACGCTAAAGAGCGAATCTTCAGGAACATCGGCGGCCTGATGGGTCCCATGGACGAGACAGTGGGCATGCAGAAGTGGAACAAGGGTCCAAACGTCACCGTCACCGTCGTCTGGATCGACCCCACCAACGTCATCGCAGCGACCTACGACATCCTGATCGATGCAAGCGCAGAGTTCACACACTATCGCCCGCCGCTCAACCAGCCCCTGCGTCCCGGCGTGTGGAGCATTCGAATCCTACACAACTGGAGCCTCATGGCCGAGATCCGTTTCCTCATCGTCCCTCTGGCGTACAACAAGCACCAGCCCATCAAACAAGGTGAGAGGCACTTAAACAGCAACGCTTATTTTAGCCAGCGCTTGTTGACTGTTTCAATAAGACGGATTTATTATTAGTTATTATTTGCAGAAACAGACCTGCTCCTCCGAGGTCGTATGACTCATCAAGACGCTCCGCAGGTTACAAAAGGCCACATTTTATTCTGAAAGCTCAACTTTTATTTTTGTTTTTGCAACAGACAAACAGGTCATGCTGCTTGAATATCTGTCGACACTAGAAGTACAATGATCATTTGTAAATCTGGGGTTCGTGTTTTCTGTGAAATCACAAAGTCCAACCAGGTGTGAAAGTAACTTTCACTACAGCGGTGTCCTCGGGGATCACTTACAAACACCTTATCTGTTTTATTGTACCTGGGTCCTCCTGAAGACTCCAGAGGACACTTTAAAGGGACGTTATGGAAGTTTGACAGCCAAAACATGTATAGAAATAATAAATTTCTTCTTCACACATTCTCCTGCAATGCCCTGGTCCTGGAGAATGAGCCCTGGCATTTTTACTGTGATTGCCTGTTTTTCTGTAAAATCACAGAAAAAGAGAGATGCTCGGGTCGAGCAGGCTGCTTCATGCGCGTTCACGCTCAGGCATCGCCCGTAGCATTTGCTATCCGTAGCTTTAGCAGCAGAGAGAGAGGCAGTGCCACTTTGTCGCTGTTCCTAACGCCTAGTGATGAACCTAGCTACATTTCTGAGGACCCTTAGCTACTTTCTGTAGAACTTTCTTCTAGATATTTCCTGCAAATTAGCAACAAAATAGCCATTTTCGCTCCGAACCGTTCTTTGAACGTTGTTTCAGCTGTCATCAAGGATATAAAAGTTACAGGTACAAAAGAAGAAGCAAATATCATTTCTATAGCGCCTCTCAAGATAAAGATCACGAGGCGCTTCACAAAAACAAAAAAAGTAAAAATATAAAAAAGCATTTAGAAAATGTTTAAAAATATATTTAAAATGAGCAAAAATAGACAATTGTGATTTAAAAGAAAAAATTTAAAGAAAGAGAGAGAGTGAATAGGAAAGAGGGAAATCAGTGGATCCTGAGGAAGGTGTAATAGTGGGGAGAGCAGAATAAAGAGAGAGTGGTGAAGAAGGTCATACAAAAGCCAGCTTGAACAGGTGAGTCTTCAGCTGCTTTTTGAAGGAGACCACTGAGTCCACTGATCTCAGGCTCAGGGGGAGAGAGGTCCAGAGTCTGGGGGCCACAGCAGCAGATGATCTGTCACCTCTGACCTTTAGCCTGGTGCTGCACAACCAGTAGGCTTTGGTCACTGGACCTCAGGGACCTGCTGGGGGTGTAGGGACTAAGAAGATCACCAATGTAAGATGGTGCTTGTCCATGTAAGGCCCTATAGACCAGAACCAGGATCTTGACATGAACCCTGACGTTGACTGGCAGCCAGTGAAGCTGGAGGAGAAGCGGGGTGATGTGGGTGTCTTTGGAGGACTTGGTCAGAAGCCGAGCACAGGTGTTCTGAACCACCTGTAGACGGTTCAGGGAGGTTCTGCTCAGACACGTGAAAAGAGAGTTACAGTAGTCTAAGTGTGAGGAGATGAAGGTGTGGAGAACTGTCTCAAGTTCAGAGCGGGACAGAATGGGACTCAGCTTAGCAACGTTCCTGAGATGGACATTTACATTAATGGTATATTTTTTTACAGTAAGATGCCCAAATTTTTATTTTAGACTCACCGAACGGCATTGAATTCACAGATAAAAAAGATGTGGGTTCAACTTTCATTTTGGAACAATTTTTCAAGCAAGGGAAGGGAATGATCTAAGCATGCAGGAGGACTGACCCATCATAAACCTTTGTCGGCTGTGCTGAAGAGAAAGGTACAGAACCAAATTATTTAATTAGCTGCGTGTTCTCCTGCCCTCTGTCCTCCGGGCCACACACACACAAGGGACTGTCTCAGCTGTTATTTTCGTTACGGAGTGTGCCATACAGCATGCGCGCCTCGTGCACGAGCCTACTATTGAAGCTGCCATTATGCTTTTGGCCTGAGGGGGCAGTCGCGAGCATAAAAATTCAAAACTCCTTAAAGTCCCTTTAAGACTGATCAGGGAAACGTTTCAGCAGATTAAAACGTTCGGGAGAAATCCCTACGGCATTAAAGCTAACGGCTAACTCTAAGCAGAGGTGTTTCAAGAATAAAAAGCAGTGATTTGAGGCTTTAACCATTTGAATCCTGTTTCTCCGCATTAAGTTATCTTTATTCTCGGGGTCATGATACCATGCTAACGCTACATCTGACCAGCTAACGTGGATCATCGTCTTGTTCCACAAGAAAAATACATTTTACTTGTGTCACTCCTTTTAGACTCTGTGCTGTCTGCAGAATTAGACCAAGCTGAGAGAATTGTGTCAAAACTGCAGAACAAGGTAGGAACCTTGTCGTTTGATAGGGAGAAGGAATCCACTTCAGGAAAAGACTGAATTACAATTTTCCTAGGAGTTCGATTCCCGATTTTCTTCTAATAAAGATTCAACACATTTTCACAATAAAAGTCATGAAAAGGCATTCATTCTTCTTCCATCGTTATCTTTTTCACGTATTAACGTGTTTGTGAAGCGACTAGACAGGCGCTCTATGAAAGCATGTTTTTCTTCCTGTTCTACTCTAATAATGCAAAAGTTGCTTTCAAACATATTTATTAACAAAATAAAATGCATACAGATTTTCCCTGCGTTGTTTAACCAAGGCCGGCTGCCGGGACGGTTTTCTGGGCCGTTTCACTTCCGGGTCGGCCCGTCCGGACTTGGTGGCGGCGGCCAGGTTTTGTTCACACAGCGTTGTCAGGAACGTGGAAATCTCTGAGCACGTGGGCGGGGCAAAAGACGTGGTGTCCTCCTAAAGTTAGTGGACAAAGGCAACCTCCATTCATAAAGACCAAATGAACACCTCCTGAGGAAACGCTCACTGTGACGTGATCCTTGTATCTGTTTTTGATGAAATCAGTATCTCTGTAAGCATTTTCCATTCTTCGTGTTACTGGGAGGAATCTGCTGGCAGAAATTGTGTCTTGTGTTTAATATTTCACTTCCCACTGACACCAACGCTGTCACAGCCTAGCGCTTTATCGACCATGAAGTAACGATTGCTGATTTGCAAACGTCTGCAGACCCACACAAACGCAGCGTTGCATGTGCAGCAACGCCGTTTCCAATCAAGCCTCTGGGTCTCTGCAGACCCCAGTTATTTGTCATCAAGTCACCCCTAATAACTCAGCGAGCAGCTCATACATACTAAACAGAGTGTTAAACAACAGTGCACTTAGCCCTCTAAAAACAATGACACAATTAAATCAATCAGTCAGCGCGGAGCGGGGACCAGACTGCAGCGCTCTAATCCGCACGCGGCCCGTTTGCTCTGAAAGTCAGACGGGAGTCGGCGTAATCACAGCTCTCCGTTTAATAATCTCCCCGAGCTGTTTTAACGATGGAGAAACAACAAATAAAGTTCAGGCTTTTGTCTTGAATGTGAGTCTCAGCGGGCCGTTGTGCATCAGCATAAGCTGCAGATTCATCTCCAGTTTTGTGTTTTTCTTTGGCGTTCTGGCCCTGTTAGGTATATAAAACGAATAAATCAAGAGATTCCCTGTCAGTTTGGAACGTTTTTAAATAAATGCATCACCACAGAGCTCCATAAGGGCTGTTTTCCCACTGCTTTTAGGGATTTTCATTCTTTTTCTTTCTTTACAACTTCATTTTTATGTCTTTTCCTAAACTATGTTAGAAAATGTTCTGATTGAACTGTAATAAAAAAAAACACTTTTTTTTAAAGCCAATTTGCTAGTTTTAATTCTTCGGCCAAAACCACAATTACATTTATTTGTCATGAATTATTTTATGGTCAGAAACATTTGCAGTTTTGTGAGAAAATCTTTTTTACCCTAACTGATGAAAATAATTGTTTTAAGACTAAAAATCCTGTTTGTGAGTCAGACACATGAATAAACTGCACTCAGGTAACTTAATAAATATGAATATGGTTTATTTATATTTAAAGGGAATTATTATCGATGTTTTGGTGTTAAAGCTGCGATCCTAGCTTGCGCCAGCGCTGTGTGGATGCAGCGTCGTGCTGCTTTTGGTCTTTTCATCTGCCTGCCTGTAATCCATGTCGGGCACCGGGCGCCCCTCCTCTCGGTGCCGGTAAAACTTTATGATGTGGCAACAGCAGATACGTTTATTCCACACACCGGTACCACAAAGCGAGCCGCAGGTTGCTCTGACGGGTGGAACGTCTCGTGTCTGACTGCGTCGTTCTGTCACCGGCGTGTGAAAAGTGCTGATGTCTGCAAACATCTGGGTGAGAGGGAGTTTTATGTTCCACAGCTGTTAGAGGGGATGGCCGGCATCCCAGTTAGCAGACCAGCGAGGAATTTAAAGCTTCTGGAGCTCCAGGTGGAGGAGGTGCTTTAAGGGGAAGTCCAGAATTCTGCAGTTATTTACTCTCATTAGACACAAAATACAGCCCTTCAAAATAAGAGACTGACACCCCAAGTAGCTTATTCAGATCAGTTGCACATCCTGATGAAAACCCTCAGAAACGTGAACTCTGATCACCAATAGGCTTTGTTTGGAGTCTCTACATTTTTACTGGCTGAGGTAAAACCTAAATTCTCCTGAGATCCCAGTTAGCACCGTCATGTCGGACAGGAGAGAAACACGTGGACGGACGAGGCTTGTATCGAAACCTCCGGGTGCATTTACTTGACCTTCACTTCATGCACACGTCTCCCTTTCACCGGGTTGGCCCAAAAGGACCCTTTCCTGCCCATTTCAGGGACCAATTAATTACCTGAACTGGGACTTGGCCTGGAAGAGTCGCTGGGCGGGACTTGTTGTTAACTCATGCTGATTGGTTGCTTAGAGATCTAGAGAAACTGCGGGTTGGTCAAGCCACGTTTCACTGTAGCCTCAGCAGGTCTACCATTGGCTCAGCTAACTTTAGGCCGGGCCGTTCACAGACATTGGCTTAGCACCGTTATGGTAGAGCTTTTTTTTTTTGATGATTGAGTAAAACATCAACAATGGCGGCGGCTCAGGTACGGCGCTCGTTTGGCATTGACTGTGTGTCATTTGGAAGAAACAACAAAATAAAAGCATACAAGCTATAAGTGTCAATATAATTTACACAACAAAATGTTTACCTTTGTGTTTGACGTCAAAATCAAAATGGAGATACGATGACGCCCCTAATCTGCAGCGGACCCCGTCAGCCAGTGGAAGTTTGGGTGGTTCAGTTGTAAAAGTATATTTTTAAGTTTTGGGACTCTTCAGGGTCCTTCCTGTCCTCCTCCTCTTCTCACCGTTTGTCTGTTCCTCCCATTTCTGCAGACGACGCCTTAAAGCTTCACAACGGGCCGGTGAAGAACAGCTACATGGAGCAGAGTTTCCACGGCCTGAACCCCATCCTCAACATCCCCGTCAGCCTGGCCTATGTGGAGCAAGCCAAGAGGAACGCGGCCATGACGGGCTCGGAGCTGGAGCGCTGGGTCGACAGCCTGGTGGGCGAGCTTTGGGAGGCGGCTGACGTCTGCGCTCTCGGACCCACCGCCTGTCCGGTTATGCAGGCCTGTGCCAAGAGTCCGTGGAGCTCCATGAGCCCGGATCCCAAATCCCAGCTGGGAGAGCCGCGCTCTGACGGGAGGATCAGGTAGCACCGAGGCCTCCGGCTGGACAGGACGCCGTGACACCGTCGGTTTTTTTTAGGATGAGGTTTCTCGCAGCTGGGGAGGTGGTGAGAGTTTCTTTATCCCTGAGAAAGGAAACCCATGAAGTGGACTTTGTGGGTCAACATGAAGTTCCTTCTTTTAGGGAACCTTTTTGGCTCTGCTGTTTCAGTTTCTTAGCTTTTATTTATTTTTCGTCTCACAAACACGTTTTACTGTGACCAGGCGTTGAAGTTCTCCAGCTGGCGTCCTGCGGCCATGCAAGCCTGGACGGTCGACAGACTAGAAGCTTCTGCTAAAATGGCCTCAGCAGCATTCAGGAGGAGGAGGTCGGGTCCTTAAGTAAAAACGTGCCTCCTGGGGATTTCATCAGCAAGAACATCTGGATCTATAAAAACTTCTAAACGGGTGAAAAAAATCACGCTGCGGCTAAAGCAGAACGTCGTTTCAGCTGATCGGGCGTCGAGCAGCTGCAGCGCCACCCGCCTGCAGCCGTCGGATTCGTTGATGTGAGAAAGAGAAAAGCTGAAAGAAAAAGTATTTTTGGAGCACTTCAACTTTTCCACCTGGATGACACGTAGGCTTTTTTAAGTTAGTATTTATTTATGACCGAATTTAACGTCGACTCAGTAGATTTCCTTAAATCAACACCCAGATGTTGCAGCAGGCGAAAGAACAGATTTTTCTTGATTATTTTAATTAACTTGCCTCAAAAACTTGAAACTAAATTACCTGAAGCTGACCTTAAATTTGCGTTTCCACTTCAGCGGTACTTAGTGTTGTACATAATTATACCGGACGTTTCAGAGCTAGCGTTAACGGGGGAGGGGAGGTGTTATTTATTTCTAAGTTTATATTAATACTGATATTTTTAGTCAGTGACTAAATAACTTCAACGCTGCCGTGGCAGCATGATACGTATTTTTTGTAAAGAAAGCCGCCTTTATTTACAAAGGCCAACACCCCCAACTTTTACGTTGTACGTTTTTAATTTTGTTGTCATGACCCGGACCTGTTGCGTGTTTAGTCCGTGTTGTCCCGTCTGAATAGATCTTTTTGTCCTGGTTTTTCATGCAGCCGTTTGCCAGGTGAATCATGAGAAAAAGCCACGTTGAGCGATGAGGTAAAGAGGTTAGCTACCTCACAACCTCACCTCACAAGCAAACTCACTGGATAAGGCGTGGTGGGCGTTTAATGTCCGTTTTCTGGCTTTGGTGTGTTCAGGGTGGCAGTGAGTGGCTTTGACATTCATGCTGTGACAATAATGTACAACTTGAAGTGAATATTCTGTTGTATCTTGAGTGAGAAGTGAGCGATTAGCCGGATTGGTTCTGCGGCACCTCGTCAGTTCCGTTTTTTTCCTCCTCCCTGGACATTCGACACAAGTTAATTACATTTGGGCCGTTAGCAGATCCTGAACAAGAAGTTTGCTCACATATTTGTTTTACCTTGAAATAAGTTTCATCTGAAGCCAATTAGGTTTTCAATCTGTGGCTGTCAGCACTGTTTAGCCGTCACACGAGCTAAATGAGAGGTTTTGCACAAGCTAATGAAGAGACATTACTGTTCATTAATGTCAAGTTCACCTTGCCTCTGTCAGATGTGTGTTTTCTCTGCTGTCCCTCTCTCTCTCTCTCAAATCCACACTGTAAAAAGGTGTTGACTCACCTCTCACCACACTTGTTCTAAGGTGAGCTCAGTGGCAGTTTTTGGGGGGAAAAGGTGAATAAAGTTAAATGTAATTAAATGTGAAAGTCATATTTTGTAAGAAAACGATGAACTAATGAAGATGTACATACGTATTTTGTATTGAAATGTTGTTTAGAACTGTAAATACAGATGGTGGGCGAAGCGACGCTGACATTTTAAAGTTCTAAAAGGGTCGATAACTGGAAGAAACGAGTTTATAGAGGGGAAAACGCGACCGGTTCAGTATTTCGGACAGCTGTGACAACAACCTTTTCTATCGGTGTCTCAGAAAATCAATTGTTGTTGTTCTTGCTGGAATGTATTGTTGAGAAACTGTTGCACAACTTTCTCAGACTGCTGTTTACCCGTTTCTTTTATTATTACTGCTGTTTTATTTGTGGCTCAGAGAGGCTCCACGTGCCTTAGCTGACTTTTACAACCTTCTCTGTCCGTTTAAAGTCGCTCTGTTTTTACTTTGACCTTTTAGGAGTGATTCATCGACACCAAAATGATGTCTGCTGTTAAATGAACCATCAGGCCTTCTGTTGTCATCTGCTTTTTCTTTATCTTTTACTTTTCTCCGATTGCTTTTTGGAAATAAAATTATTTGAAAAATATGCAACGGCTCAGTTGACTCTTCGATACACTCATTACTGTTGCCACGGTAACCTAGAGGATTATAAGCCTACAACATGCTCCTTAACAACGTTCTAACACAGAATAGCTGTAAATATATTATGGAGATTAAAAAAATGAATAAAGTGGTTCTCTCTTGTGTAAAAACCTCCACCAATAAGAAGTTTCAGACTGAAGCTGCTATTGGACCATCCAGTTGTTGGTCTCACCGAATAGCCACACTTCCCTGGGTCCGCCATTCATTACACACTCACTGGCTGCATAGATGGATGGATTTTTTTTTTAAATGATGGATAGATGGGTAGATAGGTAGACAGACAGACACAGACATTGGGTCCTTTGGTATGTCTCGACCAGAACTTGAACCCCGAGTCTCAGGGCGGACACTCGGCCACTGAGAAGGCGCATTCTTCTTCTCTTTTCCCTTTCACTGAGAGCTTGTCCTAGTGGTTTCTGTGTGGTGACACAGCACCGTGGTACAGCTAACGCTAGACCAAGCTGTGGAGAGAAGACTCAGGCTCCCTATTGCTAACGCCAGAGCTGTAGAATAGAGATCTCAGGTATGCATGCTAATACTAGCCACAGCTAGTGCTGATGCTAGGACGTTCCAGGATGTACTGGGAATATCCAGACTATGAATTCCAGACTGGTTCATAGCTTGTTGTCCTTGTCCTCTTCTTTGTTTATCCGCGATCCCCGACTCCACAACCTGCCTTCTACTCGATGATGTAACGCACACTGATGCTGCATTTAACATCTGGAAACAAACATTTTAGATGTGTGTTTGCAGGAGTTCCCTGGATGAATCAGCCGGTTCTGCTGAGTGTTGGATGGGTGTTAATCAAGGAAATACGGCAGATTTCATCCTCTGTCCCTGAAGACAGATTGGGCCGTTTGGGACATGTGGCCTAACCGGACCAGACGCCTGCTGCTGTACACGTATCTGTGTTTTTGTGTGTTTTCTGAGTGAGAACCAACGTGTATTTATCACAAAGTGACAAAGCCAAACAGAACACCATGTTGTACATGAGCACGGTGTTAAAGGAGCGTGTCGAGTGCTTTCACGGGCGAATCCAACAGCAGCAAGATGACAGAAATCCTCTGATCAGCTCAAAGCTACGCTGCCGATACTGACAGGGAATGACCGAGATTCCTAGCAGGAAAACACTTTGATTATCATGTTCAGCTTTTAATTCTGACACAAACACGCTGCTTGATTAATTAGCATCCCTGAACCAAAGAGAGATCATAATAACAGCGACAGCGTTGCTCTCACAGCTGTAACATCTGCACACGGAGAGAGACAGCTTGAGCTGAGCCACAGCATTCTGGCTCTAACCACATCCTGGAGGATTTTCATTTCATGTTGTTTAAGCAACATTAAGCTTTAGCAGGGTCCGAAATTAACACTCGCCACTCGCCAAATGCGAGTAAATTGCTCCATTTGGCGAGTAAATTTTTGAGCTCTACCTGCCACCTGGCGAGTAAATGTTTGCACCAAATTAGTTATGTTCATCAGTCATCTTCCACGGATTTCTGATACTCCTCCCGCCTGCATGCAACTTACACAAACGTACGCGAAACGTGAGCGCCGCATCCAACGTCATTTCCACCTATCCCATTCAATCAGTTTATCAAGTTAGCTGTTAGCTTCGTGTTAAAACTAGCGGTGAAATGTGGCGGTTTTTAACTGGAGTCAGCCAGCCTTCCAAAAGAAAACTCGTCGAACTGGAAGAAAAACTACCAGGACCAGTGGCAACCAGAAGATTTTGTGAAAAGTGGCGAACTGGAGACGGCGGAGTCGTGAGACAATGGCTACATTATGATGGCCACGTAGCGTTGCTGCCTTTCACAGACAACTATCCCTCGGCATTCTTCAAATATCCAAAAAATGCCCATACTTCCGACTTTGTCTTCTTTGAGGGATAATAAATGTCCCGAGTGCTGCCGTCTCCTCCTGCCATTACTTCAGCTTTAGCTTAAAGAAAGTTTTGGTCGTAAACAAAGCGTGCATGTGCCGCCGGCAACTTCAGATGATACGGTGGCTGGTAAGGGTCACCGCGCCTACACCGCAGCCACGGTAATCCACCGAGATAATATATATATATATATTTTAAACAAGACTGTTATTTATTGTCAACTTTTTTACCGGGGTTTACTACTACACCAGTTACCGTGACAACCCTAGCCCTGACACACTTTCAGATATTCTCATGGTGCAGCTGTGTTCTCCAGAGATCAAGGACTAGGACCCAAATGAGGCTGTAATGCTTTGGCACAAAGACGTTGTCAGAAGCAGGAGGCCAGACTTCATGGACAGAGAAAACAAGGAGTCTGACTAGATTTCAATGAAAGAGTTCATAAAAACATCTCTAAAAATAAATAAATAGTAAAAATGACAAAAGAGTTGTTTTCCTTATTAATTGATGTTTTAATTATTTTGTCACTCTGTTTGGAATCAACATAATATAGAATAACATGCTTTAGGTGGATCTAAATCATTTAGAATTTTGGCCGGTAAAAAATATGCTTGGCCGGTAGATTTTCATCATCTACCGGCCAACTTGGCCGGTGAGTAAAAAATTTAATTTCGGACCCTGACTCCATCACATTTCATTATTCATATCTTGTCATGTATCAGTTTAGAAAAGAATAAAATTCCTTTTAACTATATAACTTGACTCTGTCTGGATTATTGCAAAGTGTGTTTATGATCCCTGAAGAAGTAAAAGTAACTATAATCTTCTGATTAAACATTCAAAGATCAATCAGGTTGATATTTCATATTTATATGGAATTATCACATCTTATTGGTCATAATTAATTTGCAGTCATCACGCTATAAAGTGTGACCGCTACAATTTCCCTTTTTTGGCACATTGCGACATAAAAGTCAGTCTTTGTGTTTGTGCCTTTAAATAATCAGAATGAAGCTGTTTGTTGTAATAAACATTTTTATCACACCAAATTATACGTAATAGTCGGCAACAAGCATTTTTACCAATTTACAAAGAAAAATCCATGTTCTGGGAAATAGCACACCTGTATTTATAGTAGGGCTGCAGCTATCGAATATTTTTGTAATTGAGTACTCTATCGAATCTTTTATCGATAAATCGAGTACTCTGATAAATTACCCTTTTGCGTTTTGTAAACCATTATATCAAATAACGTAATAAAATATGAAAGACCTCTTAAAATGAGCAAGCAATTGCCAGTTATTCTTCAAGTTTTATTCAAAATTCGTTTTCAAAACTTCAGCACTTCAACTTTACTTCACAGTAAACAAACGCGAGCGGCCGCGGCCCAAACAGCACCAGAACCGCTCAGGGCGCATGCGCAAACATGGCTCGCCAGCTGTTTCCCTATTAACACACGTCCGTTTTCATTTCTACACTTTTTTTTCTCACACTAACAAGGATTGTCGAGAAAGCATGTTTGCCGTGGTTTTGTCAAATTATACAGATCACAAAACATTTATTTACTTCCTTTCGTTTTCCTCATAAATACCTGTGTCCTCCTGCAGCAATCCTGAGGGACAACGAGCATCAATAACACAATACAAAGTCTGACGTGTTGTGTAAAAACTGCTATTTTTAGCACATTTTAAGTCCGACGTGTTGCTACCAGACGCACAGCGTGAGCTGAAACCAAGTGCTACAAATGAAAAATTGCACAGTGTCCGCAAAATATATAGAAATACAGGCCAAAATGCATTTTCTCGTAGAGGCTCCGAGTCCGCTTGCAGAAGTGACATTTACATGTCAGGTGCTGCCGCATGGAGGATGTGGTGTTGTGTTAGGCTAAATCCATTTTACAGTATTTACACTGGACTACGTTTTCCGCCTTGGTCCCACAACTTTGACATTTTCTGTCTTTTTCGCACTTCACCGGGATCCATATTGTCCGCCATGGCTTAACTCATTCACTGCCATTGACGACTAAAGTCGTCATTTGCATTTTATTTACTGTTTGAGCATCGGAACGAGCCCCCGCGCTGATAGAACCAACATCTCAGCCCTGAAGCCGATCTTCATCCGCATACGTCACAGATCACATGATCAGGAAGCAACACATCCATGTGTTAGGAGATCGTTTTGGGCCGTTTGTAAAATCTGAGTAGCGGTCAGGATTTTCTATCAGACTGCCATGTCAGATTTTTCCTGGCAATTTCAGGCTCCTGCCCCCATATACTTTTAGCGGAGAAGAATACTAATAAATAATAAATAATGAAAAATCCGTAGAAAAACAATAGGGTTCCCTGCCCTTTGGGCTTGGAACTGTAAAAAAAGTGAGGCGCGAACCGGAAAAGCATCTGCCGATCACAATTCGACAACAGATTATGAAAGAACGGATAACGCTCGAAACACGCGGCTTCTTCCTGATGTAAGAGATGAGTCTCCTCTTTGTTTTGGTTGTTTTGGCGTCGACATCATGCTAGCGCGGAACGTTCTGTGACTTAAAAAAACAGTAAAAACGGTGAGAACCGCTGGCAGCGAAGGCCGTTAGTGATCAGGAAACGGCTGGCAGTGAATGCGTTAAGAGAAAGTTACATTTGCTACTCGAGTGTGTATGTGCGTCACTTATTTCGGTCTGGGTGAAACATGACACCGGGCGATTGCAAAGCCATGAATTAATTAAACATGAATTAAACGAAGCCTCGAGGCAGAGAATTAGACTCGAGGCTTTTTTGTACTCGAATTATTCGAGGTAGTCGAGGAATCGTTTCAGCTCTAATTTATAGTTTAGGGAGTATATGTGTCCAAAGGGTTAGGGTTACTCTGTTATATTTATCCATTAACCCTGATGAACCTAATCGGTTAGGTAGATTACAGATTTGTCTTGAAGACATCAAAATCTGGATGACTCTAAACTTTCTGCAGTTCTCATCTTTGGACCAGAACCTCAGAAAAGGAAACTGCTTAGTCAATCACCTGATCTGAACAGCATTAAATTAGCCTCCAAGAACAAAGTAAGGAAC